TAGCTTGTTTTGTCAGAATTCTAACTTTGTGGTGGCCTTGCCTTTACTCTGCCAGGCGGGATACTGACTCTTAGGAAATGATTGCTAGGTTTTACGATCCAGCACAGAGACTGAGGACTTTTGAACAACTTTCATTTTGAGTAAAGTTTTTTTTGTGGGGTGGTAGTAGTGGTGTCATATTTTTTAAGCAGATTTCCAGTGCAGCAGCTTTCGTTTTCCACTCAGGGCCACTATCAGCCCTTTTTAAACCACTCTTCCTCAACTGCAGAAGACACCTGCACACAAGATGATAGGAAGAAAGACAAGTTCATTGCTTAAGTTTTAAGTACAGACTAAAAGCCTCTCCGATACACATGATGGCAGAACCATTTGATGCTCCTCTTGTGGTATTGCATCTCTACACAGAGGCTACTTTGCCAATAGCTCTCATTTTAAAGGCTGATAGAGTGTGAGAGACTATGGATTTTGGAGAGAAAATACTGTTGACTAAGGGTATAGCGCTTGACTCCAAAATACATTAATAGAACTATAACAAAATGGGGCACAGGAGCAGAGAATTGCATTTTACATGGATTTAACTGCTGGCCAACTCCTGTTTGTATGGGCACCCACTACTATGGAGAAAAACTACTAATATCCTTCAACTCCAGACATGACTTCATATCCTAAGGCATGTGCCATCTAACTGTACCTTTCAAAGCCAGAATGATCACTCATGCTCTCACAGACCCCAAGAAAAAGCCACAGCCACCCTGAAACTTCTGTCCACAACTGGTTTGGCCCTGATGAATGCCTGGACCACAGATTGGATCATGGAACTGGAGCAAAGAGAACATAACATAGCAGAAAGTTTGAGAGCCCTGGCTGTGCAGGAGAAGCAATGCTTCAGTGCTGCCAATTATGAGAAAGAGTCATCCAGATTGATTCATTCACATACATCAGTTTTTGTTACCATTCCTGATGGGGCTTGTGGAGTACATACACTTCATTTTTATTGCTACTGGCAGTGATGTGACCCTCTGCACTTCATTTATTAGGGATACAGAGAGTTTGTCCTTCATGTTGCCCAAGGAACCGGAACAGACTTTCCTCTGCAGCCACCAAAAGCAAAGAGGGGAGAATAGGTGTCTTGAACTGACCCTTAAAAAGTCCCCGTGTTAGTTTTTACTTCACAAATGCTCAACTTGCACTCAGCAGGCACTTTGTCTTCACTTCGGTGCTTTAGGTATTTTTAAATTTAAGAACAGAACTACTACAAAGAATTAATTAAGGACCAATTAATTGTGAGACAGCAATGCTGACATCTTGGGTTCACACAAGCATCTCTTTTCCTTCTGATTGTTGCAGATTTTCCTGCCCAGTAAAAACGCCAGAGTCTTGGTACAGGAGTCTCAAGAAGGACGAGCAATCTGAGGAAATTCCCTTTATTCTACAGATCTTTTCTCCGTTTGGTCAGTACAATGTCACAGACAACTCAGATAAAAGTGGTAACTGCCCAGCTATTGATCTTTGCTGAAATTATCTTTTTTTTTTCTTTCTTTTTTTTTTTCTTTCAAGTACAGCTAAGAGAGGAATATATGAAATCTACCAGAGCTGAACTGCAATAGAACAGGAAAGCTACAGTTTTGCCTCACCACTTGAAGCACAGGCACAAAAAACGTACTATGAGATGGAGTAACATAAAAATATTGTCATGCCTGCCACTGCAGTGGGAACTTCAAAAGTTGGGGAGTGGTTAAACATTGGAACAGGCTGCCCAGGGAAGTGGTTGAGTCACCATCCCTGGACGTATTTAAAAGACATGTAGATGCGGCACTTAGGGACATGGTTTAGTGGGCATGGTGGTGTTGGGTCGATGGTTGGACTCGATGATCTTAGAGGTCTTTTCCAACCTTAATGATTCTATGATTCTATGACATCCAATTTTAGGAGGCTGCTCCAGTGTAAGAGACATCTGGTAAAGTGAATGGAGACTGCATGCGTCAAAGAGTTCCAATTCTAACCTTTTATGTTGTAGGTTAAAAAACTGCAAGCTGCAGTGGGGAATATGGATCACTGAACACAAAACCACAAGCAACAGAAAACTAAGAACATGTATGTGCTTGACCTCAGCACTGCTGCCTGTAAGTTGTTCTCAAACCAACAAAAACATTTCAGTGGCTGGAGAAGATGAACAGGCCTGGTTGCCAAGTCATGGCCCGAACTGTTCCAGGGGGCAGAAAAGACAGCTGGACTGCTGGTAAAGAACAAGGCTATTTAAGGAGACTCATTCTGGCCTAATGGAAAATGCAAGGATATAATTATCAATTATTTTAAACTAAAACAACATTTCAGATCCAGGAAAAAAAAACATCACAAGGAAGCACAAGAGAGAAGCTGGTTAGATTCAGCTGGCACCTCAATCCAGGTACAAAAAGAGCAAAATGTGCTGCTCTTTAGAAGCAAGAAAATGAGATGTTTTCCACAAGATGATGATTCTGGACAGTGCTTCAACCTGTGAAGCAAACTCTGAATGCAGCAGCACTGTTGTTCAAGCACTGACGCAAAGCTGATAGGATCACAGGGGCTTGGCTTATCACAAGGCAGCCACAAAAGCGGTCAGTGGAACTGAGCTAAAGAAATTATTTTTAAATATATGGCTGTATGTTTATATCTCCAAGTCATACTGATGATCTGCTTTCTCTTTCAGCCCTCTGGGCAGCTGCTCCTTGTGTGCTGCACAGTGTTCCATATTAAGAATTCCTATGCAAAATTCTGGCTGTCACCCAGAATGCATGTTACAGAGCAAACACACAAAGCCAAATAAACAACACTCCTAGAGTCTCTGTGAGAAGGGCCCAATACACAACTGTCAAGGGGGACTCAGAGCTGAAATCTCCTAGAGAGGTAAAGCTCTTGAGCATGACTGTCAAGTGCAGCCTTGTCTGCTGCAAAAAAAACACCATTATGGAACTTATCACCGTTCTTCTACCACTGCCTTCGTCACAGATTGTTAACAGCCTCAGACTTCTGAATGGCTGCCCCATCATGTGCTCAGAAGTCACAACAGCATCTAACATCATTTGTAATGAGGGGGGGCAGCAGAAATTTTTTTGTTCTTTAACGGGAATGCTCCATTCAGAGCACAATGCCTATTACAAAAAAGGGCCAAAACTTTGCTCTAGAATTCAGTCGAAAGAGTAAGTTTAAAAGAATTCTCAACATACTTATATTCTGTTCCTTAGCACTTCCTCTGCTAGCAGTTACATATTACAGCATACAGCTCTATAAATACATGTGACAGCCCAACAGTTGAATGTCACAGTATATGACAAAACTTTTACAAGAACATTCCCCAGGACTTCCCAAAATTAACAACTCTGATCAGCTTTTGTAATTCCTATTCAGGACTGAAGCAGATTAAATCTTTTAGAGATTTCAATACACATGCACCAAAGAATATCTTGTTTACACAGTGTTACAGTCTGCACTGCAAAGCTGTGAAATGACTGTTGTGCTTATTCACATAACAGGATGTATTACTTTCTGGCTTCTAACAAACCAACAGTACTTGATCTTGAAGGCCAGAACATCATTCTGTCTTGTTGAATCTCCTGGGTCAAACATAAGTGGATAAGGCAGGGAAGAGTTCCAAGATACAGCATAGGAAATTCAGCAGGTATAAACTGGATCTAGAAATGAAGTTGGTGATCTAATACACTGCTGACATAGCACCTCAGATGTAAGAGAAAAATTAAACCATACTTCGTGGCTCTCTGTGTCAGTGGAAGTGCTATAGGGTATTTTACAGTAACTCTCAGGTCCCAATCAAATTTTCATCTGAATGGTTTTATTCAGCCTCGTAAACTCCCACAGAAACTTTGCTGGACATAACATTTTACCCACCTATTCCCGCGGTACTATAGTCAGCTCTGTGCCTCTAGCCTGGTTGCATATATGAAAGAAGTTTCAGGTTAGGACTGTGGTGTATCAGAGTCAAGGTCTTCACTAAGAGAATTGGGGTATTTAAAGTAACTGCACAGCCCAGGCAATATTCCTGTGATGGGTAACTGACTGCTACAGGACATCTTGGGTCAACTTCCATTCCTGGCCACCCTGTCAGAGTGGCTTGATGGACAAGGCAGGACTGGGTATTCATTCACACTTGGCATTTGTAGATGGCAAAAATGTTTGCACCAATTGGATTTTATTGAGTGAGTCCATCTCCAGGGGTGATATATTAAAACAGAAAAAAATCTGACTCTTCTGGTGTAAAGGCATGTTACAATTACCAATGGATAGAGAAATGCAGTTGCTGGCAGTCCTAGACAGCCGCTCTTTAAGGATGTCTATAGATACGTAACACAGGTGGCGTTTCCAGAAAACCCAACTGGAAATCCTAGGGAGAAAAAAATTATCTTAAATGCCTAAAATTAGATATGACCAATACCAATTCTGTGGGCTTGGGAAACTAGTTGATTCCTGCCTAGGTTGGACAAACAGTTCTGGAGATGACTGAACACTGTATAGTTTTACTTTTCAGCTGTGGAAGGATTTGCTCTGATACTTCAAGTCACACTGAGGGCCTCTGTGTGCAGACACAGGGAGAACTGGTGAGCAAAAGTTTTACTGCTGCACTGGTACTAGAAACATTCAGAAGTGACACTGTTGTTTTGTTGGCTAGCAGCTGCACAGAAAACTCTGGAAGGATATATTGATGAGCCCCATGTTCCAGGAGTCTCTGAACCATCTCAACTTCTATTCCGACAGTTGCACTTAGGATACGTGAGGATTGGATCAAATCTGGGAGAAGAATTCAGTTAGGCCTAAGGAAGTTGATGCCAAGTAGAGAAAGGATGAAAGCCATCATGCACATGACACACAGCACCAGAATGTCCAATTTGGTATAGTTCAGCCCAGGAATTGTTGGCCTTCATATAATTCAATGCATAAGGTGTGTCACATGCCCCAGGATGAAACCAAGGCTAAAGGTTACTGTCATCACAGGCACTTTAACTTACCCATGAAGAAATACTCTGGAGACTTTTTGTCTGAAGCAAAGTCTGCCATAACCCCACCAAACCGCAGCCATAGACCAAAGGCAATGACAGCCAATCCTGCCAGCTGGAAGATAAACAGACCAGTCAATACTTCAGTAACAATTGGCTGGAGAGCATCAAAGAGGTGTCATTGGCACCTTATGCTTTCTTGAAATCCCACAGCTCAGGACTGCACTGTCAGAAAATTCAGGAAGCACTTGCCAGTGTTTGGTAACAATGAATTCCTATTATAGTGCAATGTATGTCTTCCTTTCCTTTCCTTTCCTTTCCTTTCCTTTCCTTTCCTTTCCTTTCCTTTCCTTTCCTTTCCTTTCCTTTCCTTTCCTTTCCTTTCCTTTCCTTTCCTATCCTTTCCTTTCCTTTCCTTTCCTTGCCTTGCCTTGCCTTGCCTTTCCTTCCCTTCCCTTCCCTCCCCCCCCCCCCCCCTCTCCTCCCTTCCCCTCCCTTCCTTTCCTCTCCTTCTGTCCTGTCCTGTCCTGTCTTTTTCTCCTCCCCCCCCCTTCTTTCTCTCTCTCTTCAATGTAGTGGTGCTTCTGAACTTACTAGTGATTTTCAAACCTTGTAAGTAAGCTCATTTAGTCATCAAAACTTGGCCTGAATTGCAATAGGGAATGGAGTGCGGCAGGGGGGGAGGGTGTGGAGGGGAAGTGAGCACCCATGAGAAGAACAGACAGGCTGCAAAAACAATGAGGAACACTACCCTCCTTCCTAACCCTCAGAACCGCACTGTAGTCAGGCAGTATGCAGGAGGCCGCTCAGGGCCTGGGTCTGGAGGCAAGATGCTGTTACTGCAGGAAAAGCACCTGTGCTGGTTTCGGCTGGGATAGAGTTAATTTTCTTCACAGTATCTAGTATGGGGCTATGGTTTGGATTTGTGCTGGAAACAGTGTTGATAACACAGGGATGTTTTCATTATTGCTGAGCAGTGCTTACACAGAGTCAAGGCCTTCTCTGTTCCTCACTCCACCCCACCAGCAAGGAGGCTGGGGGTGCACAAGAGTTTGGGGGGGGACACAGCCGGAACAGCTGACCCCAACTGACCAAAGGGATATTCCATACCATATGACATCATGCTCAGCATATAAAGCTGGGGGAAGAAGGAAGGGAGGAACATTCAGAGTGATGGCGTTTGTCTTCCCAAGTAATCGTTACATGCCATGGAGCCCTGCTTTCCTGGAGATGGCTGAACATCTGCCTGCTGATGGAAAGCAGTGAATGAATTCCTTGCTTTGCTTTGCTTGCATGCACGGCTTTTCCTTTACCTATTGAACTGTCTTTATCTCAACCCACAAATTTTCTCACTTCTACCCGTCCGATTCTCTCCCCCATCCCACCGGGGCGGGGGGGAGTGAGCAAGCGGCTGTGTGGGGCTTAGTTACCAGCTGGGGTCAAACCACAACAGCACCTTATGGGGAAGTGCTGTGTGACCAGGAGTTAAGCCCTGCTGGCTTGACACACACCGAGCTTTTAGGACAGAAGTAACTTAATTGACTTTTTTTTCAACCCTCCTAGCTGTTTTAGGGTTAAGTAATAGCCTTTTGGGCTAAGAGGTGCCCCCTTCCCCTGTATGTATCACAGATCCAGTTCCAGTGTCACGGGATATATGATGCTGTAGAGAGACCAGCTAGACCTCTAAATCATCATACCAAACTACAGGAGACCATTGCTGCTGCTGCTCAGCTGTAAGAAGGGTTCTGTTTAGAGGCTTACCAGAAAGAGAGGCTTGTATTGTTCTTAGGGATGTGCTGAAGTTAAGTGTGTTTGGACCAACTATGACAGGACATTTTTCTGTAAATCACCATGGAACCCCCTATCGGAACTAGGAGCTAAAAGGATTATTACAGTGTACAGTATCTTGGATCACAGAAATGACTAACAAACAAGTAATGGATGCTGTCAAATGCAAGGAAAAATTCCTTTTAATGCAAACAAGACTAGATCAAAAAGGGAGTGTCAAGGCATGTTGTCTGAGGGGAAAGATCTATAGACAGTGGTCTCAGACCCACCGCATGCCAGACATATTTATAAGCCTACCAGGCAATGGTGTGTGTCCTGGCAGACAGCTTCAGCATCCTGCAGGACCAGGCACAATGCTCTGCTACTGTTCTGATGGAGGCCCAGAGCCTAGGTCTGTAGCAACTGCGCAACCTGAACGAGGTTCACAAAACACCTGCTGCTTACCATATCCTTGGCAGCCTGGCATGGTGCTTTTTTAATCTGTCCTGCATTGCCTGGCACTTAATTCATCTGGCATAGCTACAGCGAACAAAGAAAGCAGGCGAGCATATGGCTGAAAAGCTTGGGATCACAACTTTCCTCACAGAAGTGTCACAGCACAGAGTGTGAGGGTCCCCTGCCACCCTGGTCATAGCATTCGAACCTCCCTGCTTGCAGGCATGGGTTCAGCCTTTGGACTGCCAGAGCCCACTAGGAAGCCCCTCCTGTCAGCCCAGGCTTCTAAGTGCCTCTGGTAGTTTGGACGTGTTTGAAATGAAGGCCCCCACTCCAGCTGAGGAGATGGTTTCTTCCATCTCAATGAAAAGGCAGATAACAAAACACAGTAATTGTCACTTTTGTGAAACAACATAACACAAAGCTTTGTCCTTCTTCTGACTTGCAGCTGCAGCTGGGCAACATCACTCTGCTCCTACAGCTTGAGCACAGCAGCACTGTGTACCCGGAGCTTGCAGTGCTGTCACCAAGAGGGAAAAGCATTTGGTTTAACTGTGTTTCAAGCATAAAGGAGACAAAAGCCCAAAACTGCTTGCTCCAGAGAGGCTGAACAGGATTATTTTGTGACTTCTTTTTAAAAAACAGTGAATCAGAAAGAAAGAAAAAGACATGTAAGAAGGTAACATTGCTAATTGTTTTCCAGTGTGAAAAACTGGAAAGCTACTGGAAAGGAGAACACAGCATGAGGGAAAGTGAAATAAAAAAGAAAGCTCGAATTCAATTGTACCATGGAGCTATGAGACTATTAAAAAGGTGCAATGAGGGGAGAATGGCCATAGTATTCTCTAAATCTCTTGAGGGTTCTGCAGTAGACACTATTCATTGCCACATTAGGGTAGCTTTCAGCAAAGCAAGTGCAATATGATGCAAGGACTTTCTCTTAAGATGAACTTGTAAAAGTAGTAGCTGTTGGCTCACTATTTGCAATTGCATTATTAAAAAGCATCGTGATGCTGTGAAGAAGTGTACCGCTGGAATACACTGCACGGGATGCTGGGAGAACCCCTCCACAGCCTCCTGTTGCTTGAAATTTTATGCCTGTCGGGGAAACCGTCACTACTTTAAATTATCAGTTAAGAAAGATGTCTTTTCTCAGCAATGTCATCTTATATCAAGTATGTATTTTCCCAGGAAGGGCAGTATCTTTATAGAAGCGAGTAAAAGTCGAGAGCACTGCCAGGGCACTCTTGCAACGTCAACTCAGGTAGCCCAGCCCGCAGCGCTCCTCCGAGAGACCCGCGCATCTCCTCAAGGCTCGCCCCCGGCGCAGGGCAGCCC